AATTTAGAAGATAAAGTTATTCGCTTCTTATTCTCTATGATCCTAACTTCAAAGCAACCAATGAATAGGCAAGTTCCAATCACCAGGGTGAAGTCCCGTCAATCTCTGTCAGCTAACAAACTGTGCCTACTTCGGCTTACTGAGAAAAATGAGGAAATACCCCAAAGGATACAATAACAACAATAGACAATTTGTGTAACTTTATGGGGCGCGAGATTCCAATTGTTCACAATAAATAGAGCCGCCGAAAAAAAAAGAAAAGAAAAGAGACCTAAAAGCGTGAACCGATTGTCACCAAACTAACGCCATAATCTTTTTTTCTTTTCCCCCGGTCCTCAATCGTTAAAAGAAAACCCAGATTTGATGCATCAATTTCAACCATTAGACTACATTCTCTTCTCAACCAAACAAAAACCAAATGCAAACGCATGTGCAGTAAATTACCACCTCGTCCCCAGTGTTTCGACCCGTATGGTGCTCTGAAACGGCGCGCCACTCCTTCCGCGATGAGGACGAAGGCATCGGCAGAGAACCGCCGCGTGTGGCGGCGACACCGGCCGCAGCCTCCATTCAGATCAAATACTTCAACGCTGCTTCACCAACTCCTCCCTATACCAAAGGAAAAAAATAAAAAGAAAACAAAAACTAGGGTTTTTTAAGGAACACAAAGGAAACCCTAGAATTGCAAAATTTATGGGTTAATGGACTCGAATGATAACGGACAGTTAGTGTTGATGAGCAATGGATACCTCAGGTGAACTTTCCGTTACGCTGATTGAGGGTTTTGGGGATAAATGGGGGGTTTTGGAAGGTGGAGTGAATAGTGGAAAAGCTGGACGCGAAAGGGAGAAGGAGGAGAGACTGAGATAGATGATTGGGTGCGGGAAATTTCGACAGACGGGAGGCTCCCGCCATTTATAGGGCAACCTGGTATTAAATAGATAAAACGCCCACGCTCTCTCCTGGCGCGTGTATCATACGAATTCCGGTTCCGTGATTCAGCTCCACCGTTCCAATCTGAGTCAGCTTTTTTGCTGGACTCGAAAAGGAATGCGTTATACTACGCACGTAATATTTGAACAAAAAAAACAAATTAAAGAAACAAAAAAAAAAAAAAATCGCCCTTGTTAATATTTAAGCATAAATCGGTTAATATATATTTTTGAGATATTTTTCATGACGATTAGTCTGATTTTTTATTAATTAAATGATCATTTTTATCTTTTAATATAAGATTAAATTATATATGTATCTTATAATATGCACATACTATGTTTTAAAAGTTTTTACTTAAATTATTCTAATTAATTAAAAATAATCAATATGATTATTACTTAAATGGTATGATTTTGATTTAAAATGATTTTCGTATGTTTTAAAAAAAAATTATTTTAAAACTTGTAATTGAATTTGGGCTCAAATACATTTTTCATATCTAATTTTTACCAAATAATTTATATATTAAGAAAATGTTTCGAAATTTGAAAAAAAATTATTAGTGGGAAAATTATGTTGTTTGTGCTAAAATACATTTTTGTAATATTCAAATTCCCACTAAATAATTTATTTTTTAAAATGGAAGTGGCATAATTCAATCACGATTAAGCAAGCAATATAGCAACAGGGGAGAAAGTCTTCTCATACGTGAAAAGCCTGAAATTCCCTGTAATACCCAAATTAATTTTTATGTAATTTAAAATTAATTTATAAATATAATTTTTTAATTTTTAATTTTAATTTAATGTAAACATAAAAAAAAAATTTGATGAATGATGAAATTGAAAATAATTTTGAAAAAAATGGGAAAAAATTTGAGTTTTTAAGGTATTTTTGAAAGAAAAATCAGAAATTAGAGTCAAAACGTAATTTAAAAAAGTTATAGCATATAGAATGCCCAGTCAGCAGCCTCAACGATCCAGAACGTGCCACGTGGCAAGGAATGTTGACGCGATGCAATGCAGGAAGCCACGTGGGTAATCCGCGTACCCGCGATCGGATGGCCCAGATCCACTCTCGCGCGCATGGACGGGCTAGATGCGTCCCCTCCCCAGACACGATCGGACGGTCAGATTTAAACTCAATCAACGGTTTAGATCTAGTTCCTATTTAATTGCGATCAGAAAATTCAGATCAAACGCGATGGATGGCTCAGATTAAAAAGGGACGGATATAAATAACCATCTTCACACCAAACCCTAACCCTAACCCTAGCCACCTGACACCCTCGCCGGAGAAGAAGACCCAACAACCGGGAAGGGAAGCCGTCGCCACCCGCCGCCACGCCGAAACCACTTTTGACCGTCAAAAAATGTAAAAAAATTATATTTGCTTGGAATTTAATTTTAAACACCCCAATGGCCAAATTGAAGTAAAAAGATTGACGGATTTGCTGAAAATCGCAGCCAAAGCCTGGCAGCGCCGCCGCAGAAAATTACAAAAACTGTTTCCGATGAGGCCCTTCTCGATTCCCGTTATGTGTAATTCTTTTACCATTGTAATCACCATTTTCTTCTCTATAGGTTGACCGAAACAAAATATCCAATCACAAAGGTGAGCTGGCGGAGCCACCGTACCGGAGAACCCTATCGCCGGTGAGTTTCAATTTTTTATTTTTTTTGGCTAACTGAGGCTCCTTAACGTATTTTCTTGCATGGATTGATGCAAAATCAGCCGAAAACAGCCAACCCGAGGCAAACTGCTGTTGCGGGTGGTGGTGCCGTCGCCGGAGCACGACAGAGCCGCCATGCCGGAATTTTGAAATTGGCCAAAAAGGGGTTCTAATACTGATTTTGAATTTTTTGGGATATTTGTAAGTACTTATAGCGTGTTTTAATCTTCGAAGAAAAATTCAAGGAATTCAGAGACCGCTAATATGTGCAGCCAACAAGTTTGGCATTTTGGGCATCAATTTGAGTAAGAATCCATCACCTTATTCTATATTATAGAATTGAAGTCAAATTAACAAAATACGATGTTTGTGCAATTTTAAAAATATATATAATTAATTACGGGTTACTAATGAAGCCATAACGAAAATTATTCAGTATTGATTTCTGTTGAATTATTTTACAGTTTGAATGCATGATAATATATGTTGATCGATTTTATAGTTTTGAATGTATGTATTACTGTCTTATGTTACTATAGTTGAATTGAAAAACAAGGATGTGATTATATTCTCTTATGCATATTGTTTGTTTATGTGATTACGGTTGAAATGGAAAACTTGAGAGTAAAGGTAAGCAGAAAATTGTATGAATAAGTGAGTGGATGAAACGGCAGTCTTACTGAATATCCTGAGAGATGGTGGGCGGACTGGGTACATAGGGGACCCTATTGTGAACGTTGCCTCATACTGGACGGGGTATCAAGGCTTGGTAATTTAGCACTCATACCGAACAAGGTATGGGGACAGTCCGTTTTACACTCATATTGGACGAGATATTGAGGTTTAGTAATTTGGCACTCATACCAGACAGGATATGGGAACGGCCCGTTAATTGGAATGTTAAAAGAAATGGTTCATACATTGTGGGGATATCCTTATAAACCCCAATGGATATCAGTAAACTGATAGAAAAGAAAATTATTGTTACAACCAATTGCATATGAAATCATTAGATATGTTATGTTATTATCTCTATAAGTTATTTTGTAAATCTCATTACGATAAGTAGACGGTAAATGATTTCATATATGATAAACGATTTTGCTAAATTAAGAGCTCCATAGTTGTTTTTATTATTTCTACCAACCTTCATTTCTATGTTAGTGAGTAGCGTGATATTCTTACTGAGCTAGTATAATTTATTCTTTTATTAATCATTTCATATCAAAAGAATCAGAATCCAGAGCCCGATCCACAAGAAGGTTGCAAGTAGGACGCCAATTTTATTTATTTTCTGGTTATTCTTTAATTTTCGTATTTCTCTCAAAATGGTCATTCTCATAGTCTTACTTTGTACTTTAAGTCATTCTGTAAGGAATGTAAACTCTAACTATTTATTTCGCTTCCTCACTTAATTTATAATTTATTTCCTTTAGAATTTATGAGGTCGTTACATTCCCACAAGGCTCTCGTCATACTATGGGCTACAACATTACTTTTTTTTTTACCCAACTCACATAAATATTAGTACGTAGAGCGAGGATGGTTTTGTAGTCCTCCACAATCATCCCAAATTTCAAACGGTCTACTTCTTTCGC